AGAATCACTTGAACCCGGGAGGCAGAGGTTGCAGTGAGCCGAGATCGCACCACTGCACTCCAGCCTGGGTGACAGAGCAAGACTCTATCTCAAAAAACAACAAACAAACAAACAAACAAAAAACAGTCCTTCTTCTGAACCCTGCTGTGCTCCCAGCCACCCTAGGGTTCCATGTGGTGGCTGAGTGACAGTGGATACCTGCCTCCAGAGCTCTGCCCCTATCCCCATAGCAGGGAAAGGACCATGTCAGAAGTTGGGGCCACCAGAGTCCCTTGGGAAGGCCCACAATGAGCCAACTCTTTTCTGGCAGCTGTATCCTCTGAGCAACAGGGCAGGAGGTCATTGAGCAAGGGTCCCCCACACCCTGCCAGAAACTCTGCCATTGCAACACTCAGAGAGGAACTGACTGGTGAGAAGGCTTGGTTTCCTAAGATGTGAGAAGAATGGAGAGTTGAGGGTGGGGCCAATCCAGTGAACCCTGATTTGCCCCAGAGGGGCCCCAAGGTCCTAGAAGCAAGGACCCGCCAGCTTCTCCTCTTGATCCCCAGTCCAGTTACCCTTACAGATATTCTCTTCCTCTTCTCTCTGGGTCCTGTCCTTCCTTCCTAGCACCACTCACCTCTTCCAGGAAGTCTTCCTGGATCCACCAGGTCCAGTTGCCTGGCCGATGGTTCCGTCACATCAGTGCTTTGGTCTCCACCCTAGCCCCACCTGCCCCTCTCACCCTTTGCTGTAAGTGTGCTCTCATGTGTGTGTTGGTTGGGGGTGGGGGCCTCACACCCATGTGGTGAACTGTGGGGCGGGCTGTGGTGAGAAGCCTGCCCTAAAATAGCCCCTGTTCACTGGGCCCTGCCTGAGACCTGTGCCCTGGGACCCCTCCCTGGGATGAAACCACTGTGTCTAAAAGGCCCCAGGATGCTACAGGGCTAGTCAGAGCCAGGGCAGAAAATAGAGGTGGAAGATTGGAAGCCATCCAGGGCCCAAGGGGAGGGATTTCAGGGACTGGTGACAAGAGAAATGAGGCTAATACAAAAACGAGGATGAGGCCGGGCACAGTGGCTCACACCTGCTATCCCAGGACTTTGGGAGGCCAAGGCAGGACGATTGCTTCAGCCCAGGAGCTTGAGACCAGCCTGAGCAACCTAGGGACACCCTGTCTCTACAAAACAGAAATTTTTTAAATTAGCCAGTCCTGATGGCACCCACCTACAGTCCCAGCTACTCGGGAGGCTGAGGTGGGAGGATTGCTTAAACCTAGGAGTTTGAGGCTGCAGGAGCTGTGATTGTACCGCTGCACTCTAGCCTGGGAGAGAGAGTAAGACCCTGTCTCTATTTTAAAAAGAAAACAGAAAAACCAAGGGTGAGAATAAAGCCTTCTCACAGGAAGACACACACACACCTCAAATGGTGCACCGTGCTGATACCCAGATCCACACAGCCCTTCAGCCCCTTCTCAGATGGCACGTTACCTCAGCTGCCTCATGCAGTCTCAGGCTACTCTGCAGATTCTCAGCACAAACATCTTTCAGTGTACACACACCCCACATACACACACGTCCAGCCGTCATCCGTCTGCACATAGATGCGCATGCACACGCATGTGCGCACACACACACACACACACACATCTTCTATACAAGAATAGCAAATATAGAATTTATAGCACTTACTATGTGCTGGCCACTGCATTAAGCACTTTACCTGTATTATCTCATTTTATCCACACAACCCTATGATTTAAGTATTATTATTATTATTGCTAATTTATTTATTTTGAGAGGGAATTTCTCTCTTGTCACCCAGGCTGGAGTGTAATGGCATGATTTTGGCTCACTGCAACCTCCGCCTCCTGGGTTCAAGCCATTCTCCTGCCTCAGCCTCCCGAGTAACTGGGATTACAGGTGCCCACCACAATGCCAGGCTAATTTCTGTATTTGTAGTAGAGACAGGCTAATTTCTGTATTTGTAGTAGAGACAGTGTTTTCACCATGTTGACCGGGCTGGTCTTGAACTCCTGACCTCAAGTGATCCACCCACCTTGGCCCCCCAAAGTGTTGGGATTACACGTGTGAGCCACTGCACCTGGCCTAAGTATTATTATTATTGATGAAGCAACTGAGGCACAGAGAGGTTTGGAAATCTGCCCAGGGTTGGCTAGTCACAGTGGCTCATGTCTATAATCCCAGAACTTTGGGAGGCCAAGGCAAGAGGTTTGCTTGGGCACAAGAATTCGAGACCAGCCTGGGCAATATGGCAAATTCCAGCTCTATAAAAAATGCAAAAATTGGCCATGCACGGTGGCTTACGCCTGTCACTGCACTCCAGCCTGAGTGATAGTGAAGCTCCGTCTCGATAAGAAAAAAAAAAAAACCTCCAAAAATTAGCTTGGCATGGTGGCACGTGCCTCGAGAGGCTGAGGCAGGAGGACCGCTTAAGATCAGGAGGTAGAGGCTGCAGTGAGCTATGATCATGCCACTGCACTCCAGCCTGGGCAACGTAGTGAAACTCTGTCTCAAAAAAGGCGGCCACAGATATGATGCATCCTGGTGTTTGGCTCCAGAATCTGAGCTTTCAAGTACTTCTCTCCATTGCCCATCACAGATACAGACAGATGCAGCCATTCCTGCTGGCATGCACAAATGCAGATGCCCCCACACTGTCCCCCTGCCCCCCACATAGGGACACACACACTCACACACACACAGACACACACACACAGATATACACAGCTCTCTCCGGTGACACAGACCCACATAGAGCTCTCCTCTATAGAACACAGACTTATACAATCTCTCATGTTCACACACAGATACAATGTTGCCACTTCCAATAATACCCACGTATATATTGCCACAACATATCTACATCAGACCAACGGGATCCCTGAATTCTGCATGCCCAGTATGGCTGCAAGGGAGAGACTATCAGCATCTGAGAAGGAAGCTCTGTGGGCTCAGGAAGAGCCCTGGCACGGCTGACAGTGTTGTCAGCAGGCAGAGGTAGGCAGTTCTTGAGTCTTACCACTTCCAGACTTGATACAGACCAAAGCCCTGGCCAGGCCTGGCTCTCTGGGGACCAGTATGCTGAGGGGTCAGGGGATGTAGGGCACAGGGTATGGCATCTGCATGGCCCAAGGCAGTGAGGGGCCACACTGCATGTAGCCATGTTCATACTGTTTTGTCAGAGGAAAGAAAGAGATGGGGAAAGATAGAAAAAGGAGAGGCAGAGAGAGAGAGAGAGAGAGAGAGAGAGAGAGAGAGAGAAAGAGAGGCAGAGTTTGAGAGATACAGGGAGATAAAGAGAAAGAGCCAGAGACAGTTAGAGAGACAGAAAGAGAGACAGAAGGAAGAGCCAGAGACAGAGAAATACAGCGTGGTAGGCTGGCAAACTGACTCTCAAAAAAATAAAAAAAGCCCTGATCTGTCGCATTTTCTGATTTCCATGGTGTAAATATTCCCACCATGGCTGATTTAAAGCTACCAGAGTGAGTTCCTGAAAGCTGGGGTGGAAGAGATGCGCAGAATGAACTCCCCTGAGCCAGTAACTAGCTGGCTCCAGCACACACTGCCAGCAAGAAACAGAGACAAAGAGACAGAGGCAGAAACGAGAATTAAGGAGAAAGAGTAACCGAGAGACAGAAAGAGACAGAAACAGAGAGAGGCGGAGATGAAAAGAAAGAGAGAGAGAGCTAAAGAGACAAGGAGGGGAAAAGACCTCGGAGGGAGAGCAGATTGGGTTCACTCTGCTCAGGCATCTACATAAAAATAGCCCTAGGACTCGTCATCCTCCCCTTACTCTGATCTCTATGTGCCACCAATCCTTTGGAGAGTAATTTGACTTCCTAGAAATCTGGGTGGCAGTAAAAATGTGCTAATTTATTAAATAGTGACTAGCATCTTGCCAAGCAATTCCCAGTCATGGTCTTGTCTAGTGAACCTATGAGATGAGTTTATGACTGCTCTTATTTTACAGATGAAGAAACTGAGGCACAGAGATGTTAAGTAACTTGCCCAAGATTACACTGTGACTAAAGGGTGATAAAATGCAATGCTGATCAATTTGTTGCCAAAAACCACTGTAACCACTGATCCATTCTGTAATCCTAGTAGAAGCAATAATGCAAGCTTGTCCAACCCACAGTACATGGGCCAGATGTGGCCCAGGACAGCTTTGAATGTGGCCCAACACATATTAATAAACTTTCTTAAAACATTATGAGATTTTTTTTTTTTGGAGATTTTTTTTTTTGAGACAGGGTCTCACTATGTTGCCCAGGCTGAAGTGCAGTGGCATGATCTTGGCTCACTGCAACCTCCGCCTCCTGGGTTCAAGTGATTCTCCTGCCTCAGCCTCCTAAGTAGCTGGGACTACAGGTGTGCTACCAACATGCCTGGCTAATTTTAGTAGAGACGGGGTTTTACCATGTTAGCCAGGATGGTCTCGATCTCCTGACCTCATGATCTGCCTGCCTCGGCCTCCCGAAGTGCTGGGATTACAGGCATGAGCCACTGCACCCGGCCTTTTTTGCAATTTTTTAAAGTCCATCAGCTATCATTAGTGTTAGTGTATTTTATGCGTGGTTCAAAACAATTTTTCTTCTTCCAGTGTGGCCCAGGGAAGCCAAAAGATTGGACATCCCTACAATAATGTGTGTCTCTTAAGGAGCACCTAGTGTTCTGAGCCCTGTGCCTCATGCTCTGAATCCTTGATCCAGCAGGCAGGGCGCAGGTTGGGGGAGGGAGGGGTGCGGGAGAGAGAGAGAGCGAGCCATATCTGCCCAGATTTTCTCAGGAAGTCACTGAATCTGAAGAAGCCAGGTCTCTCTTTTCTCAGCACTGAACTTGGCTGCCTGCTAACACCAGAAAGGCGGCAGCTCAGAAAGTAGCCACAGCATCATTCTGGGCACTTAGTTCTGTTTATAAATATGTCTCTTGAACATCTGGTTTACAGGAGTTGGCTTCGAGATCTCCATCAGGGTCAAAATCAGGTTACAAGTATCGAACTGAGGTCCAACCCTGGACCATAGTGCTCCCCACTTCAACATCTGCCCTGTGGCCCTCCCCAGCTCCATTCTTCAGTAGCTCTGTGACCTTGGATCTTTGACATAAGCCTCTGAGCCTTAGTTGCTGCATCTGCACCTTCTGAGCAGTTGTTGTGAGGGCTTCATGACATGTGGCTCTTGCCCGATGTGCAGTGGCCAAGTGTGACCAATAACCAAAACCAGAATGGCCCCCAAGGACCATTTACAACTCCACCCTTTCTTTTGCATAGGGAGAAGTTACTTTCCCAAGATCACACAGTCAGACAGGGGATTCAAAGTCAGGACTATTAATTCAAGTCCAGAGTTCTGCTCCCTCCCCCATGGCTGTGTTCTCCAAAGCCTGAGCAGGAGATCATCCTGTTCCTAACTAGTGAATGTCATACTTCCGGTCGAACACACCACCCCTGTCATATGGCAGCTGGTCACCCAGCAGGGAGGGACCCTGCCTCCCACCCATCCCTACTGCTGGACATAGGAACCCCAGCTTCACCCATTCTTTTTCGAGGCCCATACTTCCCAAAGCTATGCCAGTTCTTTCATGTAGACACAGGATGTCCTGCCCCCGCAACCCTCACCAAGTATCTGTGGGATCTAGAGGCAGATTTAGGCTCACATTCTAGCCTGCCTGACAACTGACTTAAGGCATTGGGCAAGTCAGTTTATCTCCCTGAGCGGCAGCATCTTTGCCTGTAAAATGAGAATACAAATGTCCACCTCCTGGGGTTGCTTCTCAGCATCAAATGGGGTCTCATCCTTGAAAGCATCAGACATGCAGTAAGTGCCCAGTGAACTTTCACTTCCCTCCTTTCCCTTGAGAAAGGTCCTCCATGGCAATGATGGTATGGGACCAGAGGGTACAGGACTGGGCAGGGCTGAGAAGAAACAGAAGTTCCCAGGGTGAGGTGAGAGGGCTGAACTGGCCCAGCTGCCTGGGGGATTTCACCAAAAGGGAACTGGGACTTTGGGCAGGGGCAGGAAACCACCATCCTGCAAGAGTTCCGGCTTCTCCTCCGGGCTCTGGGCTGACCGGGGGCAGGCCAAGGTTGGAGGGGCAGGGAGCAGGTGACTCGCATC